TCCCACGAGGAGAGCAGCGAGCGACTTGTGGAGATCCCTATGTGATCGGAATAGATATTTGGGTCTACCGTGACGAAAATGACCGCGATGGAAACCTAACATTCGACTTCCTTGTCTCCGGTCTACCCGCTGAGAAACGATCCACCTTTCATGACAACATCGAAATTAATTCCCAATACGGCATTGATCATAAATATCTTCAGAAATCAAACCGGGGTATTTCTCAGCTGTGTTGCAGCCAAGACAGTGTAACAAGTACATTTATGTTTGATCTTTATGACAGGTTCCTTACGAAGAATTCCTTCATTGCCTGTACGTTTGTTCTTCAGGAGGAAATTAGGTCTTTAAGGAGACCGAATTGTAAGATGTTAATGTCATTAAATTGTAGCTGAATGTGTGTGTAAGAACTGGGGGTACGCCGTTAAATTTATTTGCATCAAATCGCCTTTTAGGTGGCTACAAGGAAACGTCAGAACGCTGGCCTTGTAATCCTGGGGTCTCGGGTTCGATTCCCGGCGGTGCCCGAATTTATAACTTGTGTTGGGCAAGGCCGTGGTCTAGGCAACACGGAGTTTTCCTCCGTGGCATACCAACAATTACTCCATTCACACACAGAAGAAGGCAATGGCAAACCACTTCTGGATCATCTGCCAAGAACGTATATGAACAGGTCCCAGTCCGAGAAAAGGATGGAAGGATCCTGTTCATATGGACCTGTCGTCAGACAGAACACTAAATAAATAAAAAAAACTCAGTCACACCGTTATTTGGGAGTCGAACTACAATCTCTCTGGCAGTCGGTAATGAAGGTACATTCCGATGCCGACTGATCATTCAAATCTTGTTCGCTGTGACAGAAACAACCAAGCAAATGCAAATGAGATATTTAGGAGTCACTGTTTCTCAGCTATCGTCATTAAGGAAAAAATAAGCAATTATTTTCATTATAAAACGTTGCTGTGTTACTCTTTCCAATAGAAAGTATATTTTAAGTACAGTGGATTCCAGTTAATTGGGACACATCGGGACTAGAACACTTTGGTCCAGTTAAGTGGCTGCCCCAATTATGCGAAGTTCCACGTAAAGAGTTAAAAAAGGTTTGTTCTTTAAGATTTGTCCCAAATAAACGTCCGCCCCGATTAACCGAGGGCCCAATTAACTGGAATCTACTGTATTTGTCTTTCCCGTCATTTTAGACGGGCAATCTGCTAATGTTTTTATGAGAAATCCACTTGATATCTCAGTGCATAATGACGTGTCCACACGCCTTGGTTGAAAAACGTCGGATATAACGCGCCAACCTATCGAATAATCGAAATATGTTGCATCCAGAAATGATTACGTTTCGATACATCAGTTCATCGTACGTTTCACGACGGTAACGACATCTTCCTGTCGTTATCAGTGACGAACAAGGGTCTTGTGATTTTAGAATGCGTGGCGTGACAGTGTTTACCACGTGAGTACTCCGGGTTGCATAGTGAGCTGCTTGGATGGGCACAGCAAAATTGAGACAACAGTTGTTTGCGTGTTGCTAATTTTGATGGAGCGTTAGATGAATTCTTTAGGTCACTGATGCAGGGAGGTGTGACAATTACCAGCGGGGACATGTCTGTAACTCGTCAGCAGTTAACATCTCTCTCTCTAGCTCACCAGTGCCTTTTCAAAATTGCACGTTTCAGTAAACTAAGCAAGGACGGCGTGTCGTATTTGGGTGTAGATGGACTGTGAGGCAGGGCTCTGTCAGAAATGTTATTTCTACTTTTACACCTACTCTCAGTGTTTCTGTCGTTTTTTTAAACGTTTGTCTCAACAACCCCTATGAGCCACCCTTCGTGACCACAGCACGGCCAGTGCGGTGGAACCCCACACCACT